ATGGAGATCTTGGGGGCTTTGATGTTCATCTCAGGCATCTTGAACTTAGGACCTTTCAACTTTCCCTCTGGTCCTTCAATATTAACATCAGGGCCTTCAATGTCCACCTTGGGTCCTGAGACGTCAATGTCAGCTTTAGGCAGGTTCACATCCACTTCCGGGCCTTCTCCTTTGAACCCAGGCATGCTGAACTTGGGCATTTTCACCTTGGGCATCTTCAGGTGCCAATCAGGGCCTTGAACATCCACATCTGGGACATCAACATCCACTCTGGGGCCTTTGATGTCCACACCTGGCACGTTCATTTCACCTTCTCTCTTGGGCACAGACACATCCACATCCCCTTTGACTTTGGGGCCCTTCAAGTGTAAGTCTACATCAGGCATGGAGATCTTGGGGGCCTTGAAGTGCATGTCAGGCATCTTAAACTTGGGACCCTTAAGCTTTCCTTCTGGCCCTTCCAGGCTCACATCTGGGGTTTCAATGTCCATCTTGGGTCCTGAGATGTCTATGTCAGCTTTGGGCAGGTTCACATCCACTTCTGGGCCCTCTCCTCTGAAGCCAGGCGTGCTGAATTTGGGCATTTTCATCTTGGGCATCTTCAGGTGCCAGTCGGGGCCTTGAACATCCACATCTGGGTGATCAACGTCCACTTTGGGGCCTTTGATGTCCACATCGGGCACTTTCATTTCACCTTCTATCTTGGGCACCGACACATCCACATCCCCTTTGACTTTGGGGCCTTTCAAGTGTAAGTCCACATCAGGCATGGAGATCTTGGGGGCCTTGAAGTGCATCTCAGGCATCTTAAACTTGGGACCCTTAAGCTTTCCTTCTGGCCCCTCCAGGCTCACATCTGGGGTTTCAGTGTCCACCTTGGGTCCTGAGACATCAATGTCAGCCTTGGGCAGGTTCACATCCACATCTGGGCCTTGGCCTTTGAAGCCAGGCATGCTGAATTTAGGCATTTTCATCTTGGGCATCTTCAGGTGCCAGTCTGGGCCCTGGACGTCCACATCTGGGACATCAACGTCCAATTCGGCGCCTTTGATGTCCACATTGGGCACTTTCATTTCACCTTCTATCTTGGGCACCGACACATCCACATCCCCTTTGACTTTGGGGCCTTTCAAGTGTAAGTCCACATCTGGCATGGAGATCTTGGGGGCCTTGAAGTGTATCTCAGGCATCTTAAACTTAGGTCCTTTCAACTTTGCATCAGGACATTCTTGATCAACATCAGGAACCTCCACATCCACACAGGGACCTTTCAAATCTCCCTCCCATTTTGGCACAGACACATCCACATCCCCTTTGATTTTGGGGCCTTTCAAGTGTAAGTCTACATCAGGCATGGAGATCTTGGGGGCCTTGAAGTGCATCTCAGGCATCTTAAGCTTAGGGCCTTTCAACTTTGCATCAGGACCTTCCAGATCAACGTCAGGCACCTCCACATCCACACTAGGACCTTTGATATCAACTTGCGGACCTTTGAGATCACCTTCTAGTTCTGGCACAGAAGCATCCATCTCTCCTTTCAGTTTGGGTCCCTTCAAATTCAAGTCCACATCTGGCATGGATATCTTGGGAGCTTTGATATTCAACTTAGGCATCTTAAATTTAGATCCTTTTAATTTTCCTTCTGGTCCCTCAATATCCAAATCAGGAGTATCAATGTCCACTTTGGGGCCAGAAACATTAATGTCAGCCTTTGGTAGATTCACATCTACATCGGGGCCCTCTCCTTTGAAGCCAGGCATGCTGAACTTGGGCATTTTCACCTTGGGCATCTTCAGGTGCCAGTCGGGGCCTTGAACGTCCACATCTGGGACCTCAACGTCCACTTTGGGGCCTTTGATGTCCACATATGGCACTTTCATTTCACCTTCTATCTTGGGCCCAGACACATCCACATCCCCCTTGACTTTGGGGCCTTTCAAGTTTAAGTCCACATCAGGCATGGAGATCTTGGGGGCTTTGAAGTGCATCTCAGGCATCTTAAACTTGGGACCCTTAAGCTTTCCTTCTGGACATTCAACATCTATATCACCAACATCCACATCCATTTTAGGGGCTTTTATGTCAATTCCAGGACCTTTCAAGTCTCCTTCCACTTTGGGAAGAGAAATATCTACATCAGTTTTCAGTTTAGGGGCTTTCAGGTTAAGTCCAACATCAGGCATAGAGATTTTGTGTGTTTGTATATGCATGCTTGGCATCTTGAACTTGGGACCCTTTAGTTTCCCCTCTGGACCTTCAATATTCACATCTGGAACATCAGTGTCCACCTTGGGTCCTGAGACGTCAATGTCAGCCTTGGGTAGGTTCACATCCACTTCTGGGCCCTCTCCTTTGAAGCCAGCCATGCTGATCTTGGGCATTTTTATCTTGGGCATCTTCAGGTGCCAGTCTGGACCATGAACTCCCAAATCTGGTGCATTAATGTCTACTTTTGTACCTTCGGTGTCAATGTCAGGAGCTTTAATCTCTCCTTCTACTTTTGGAACCGTAACATCATAATCTCCTTTCATTTTATGGCCTTTCAAATGCAGGCTAACATCAGGCATGGATATCTTCTGAGGCTTTATATTCATTTCTGGCAACTTAAATTTAGGACCTTTTAGTTTTGCATCTGGACCTTCAATATTCACATTTGGAACTTCAACATCCACCTTGGGTCCTGAGACATCAATGTCAGCTTCAGGAAGGTTCACATCCACTTCAGGCCCCTCTCCTTTGAAACCAGGCATGCTGATCTTGGGCATTTTTATCTTGGGCATCTTCAGGTGCCAGTCTGGGCCATGAACATCCATGTCGGGGACATCAATGTCCACTTTGGGACCTTTGATGTCAACCTCTGGCCCTTTCAGACCGCCTTCAACTTTGGGCAGAGAAACATCCACATCACCTTTCACCTTGGGGTTTTTGAGGTTTAAATCAATGTCTGGCATAGAGATCTTCGGAGGCTTGAAGTGCATCTCAGGCATCTTAAACTTAGGACCCTTGAGCTTCCCTTCTGCACCTTCAAGGCTCACATCTGGGGCTTCAATCTCAACTTTGGGTGCAGAGACGTCAATGTCAGCTTTAGGCAGGTTCACATCCACTTCTGGGCCCTCTCCTTTGAAGCCAGGCATGCTGAATTTGGGCATTTTCATCTTGGGCATCTTCAGGTGCCAGTCGGGGCCTTGAACATCCACATCTGGGACATCAACATCCACTCTGGGGCCTTTGATGTCCACATCTGGCACTTTCATTTCACCTTCTATCTTGGGCACAGACACATCCACACCCCCTTTGAC